AGTTACTGGTATTGAACTATGTAATCAATCCATCTCGATTCTTACTGTTTACCACTCACCATCTGCCAATACCGGTCAATACTTTGAACTCTTGGAAAAGTGCCTAGCCTATGTTAGTAAGCGCAACATGCGAGTGATAATTGGAGGCGATTTTAACATCCATTTGAACACTAATTCAACTGAAACCCTGCTTTTTACTAATATCCTTAGGTCCTATGGATTTTACCTTACCAACCTGCAGCCAACCAGGGGGCTTGCCTGCCTTGACAGCACTGCAATCAACTTTGACCCTGAAGACTGCCTTACACTTGTTGAAGACCCTGTGATCGCGGATCATTCAGCAGTTACGGTGACTATACGAGGACATCAAGTAAGTAAGCCAAACTCTCCATCTTGGTATAAGGATTATGTCTTTAATTATAGGACTGTAGATGTAGGTCAACTATCTATTCTAAGTAATGAGCTCAAGAATGCCTCTTGGTACAATCTTTCGGTTCAGACTGATCCTGGTAGTGTTTTTCGGGCCTTTTTTGATCTTTTTAGCAACGCATTTGATAAAATCTTCCCTTTAAAACAAAGGAAAAGTCCTGGAATAAAATGTAGGCCTAATTCTGGTTCTAAAAAGCCATCTAGCAGACCTGTGTTAAAGGACTGGTATACTCCCCCACTCCAACATCATCGTAATATTGTGATCACTTTGAATGATAGATGTAAGAGTGCGGCTACTGTAGAGGAAAGGGAATATTTCTATGGTATGTACCTAAGAGCCAAGAGAATTTACAGACAAATGATCGTTAATGCCAAGAAGGCTGCAAATGAAAAATTTATCTCTGAAGCTCACAACCCCTGCAAAGCCGCATGGAGTATTGCAAACGGCCTGCGTAAAAAGACAGTTGATTTTTGTTGCGAGGACAGTCCTGATGAAATAAACAACTATTTCATCGATGTTGTATCACGGGTGGTGGGGGGTATGCCACGGGCGGAGGCCACAATCACTAATATAGCTGGCCTAAATGTCAGACTACCACTTAACTTATGGAGACCAGTGACAGCAAAAAAGGTGAGGCACATTGTTGGTGGTCTTCGTTCTTCCACCAGTGTGGACATCTATGGAATGAGCTCCCAGATCTTGAAGGGTGTGATTAATGATATTGTTGACCCCTTAACCCTAGTTATTAACACCTGTCTGGCTTGTGGGATATTCCCTGAAGAATTAAAGACCGCAAGAGTTGTGCCAGTCTATAAAAAAGGTGACAGGACCTCTATCGCCAGCTATCGTCCAATTGCTATTCTTCCTGTAATATCTAAGGTTTTTGAAAGGGTCATGTATGATCAACTGGTCGAACATCTGGACCAGAATGAACTCTTCTCGGATTCTCAACATGGTTTTAGGAGGGGTCGCTCAACTTCAACTGCCTTGCTTCGGGTTGCTGAAAGGATATCTGAGGCTTTTGAGAACCAAGAGTCAATTAGTCTGACACTCCTAGATCTGAGTAAGGCTTTCGACATTGTCTCACATGATGTCCTTTTAAGAAAGCTTGAATGTTATGGAGCAACTGGTGTCGTACTGGAGTCCTTCAAGTCGTACTTGAGAGGCAGGAAGCAGGTTGTTGTGGTTGGGGGTGCTTCCTCTGGTGAACTTATAGTTGAGCATGGAGTCCCCCAAGGATCAATTCTGGGCCCTCTGCTCTTTCTCCTAATGATAAATGACTTCAGTGGTGGGGAGGAAGCTCTCCTTTACGCAGACGATACCACACTGATTAGGGGAGGAGCGAGCTTGGACGGAATCAGAGAGGCGGCAGCTGCTGACCTTGCTTTAGCAGAGACATGGTTTAAAAACAACAAGTTTCAGGTAAATGCCGATAAAACACAACAAATTATCTGCAGTTTAAGTCAAGATTTGGCCGTATCACAACACCACCAACCCCAACAAGTTAAACTTCTGGGCTTCACCATAGACAGGAAATTAAGTTGGCAACCTCAAATTGATGAAACGTGCAAAAAATTATCTAGAGTTGTCTTTCTGCTGCGTAGGCTAAAGAGTAGCTTAAGTGAAGCCTTTCTTATAAACATCTACCACGGACTGTTCCATAGTCACATCACTTACGGCATACTTCTCTGGGGCCATGCTACAGGGTGTGATGAAATGCTCAGGCTACAAAAATCTGCCTTGAGAGCCATAACATCCAGCGCTCATTTGGAACACTGTAAGCCAATCTTTAGAAGGCTAAAGGTGCATACTGTTATTGGACAGTATATATTCTCCTCCCTTGTACACGTCAGGTCGAACATTGAGCTAATAAAGACCAGAGGAGATGTTCACAGCTACAATACACGTAGCAGAAGCAAGATTGATATTCCTAGATTCCGCCTCACGGGAACACAGCGCCGATTTCCTGCCTTTTCTTGGAAGTTGTTTAACAAGCTCCCCCCAGAGATCAGCAATCTTCCGAAGAAAACGTTTGCCAGGGTTGTACGAGATAGGCTTCTTCAAAGAGCCTACTACTCCATGAGAGAGTATTTTGAAGACAAATGGTAGAGTGCACATCACCTCCGTAGTCACCCGCCAAGTTTTTTATTTTATTTTTTGAAACTTTCAAATTTGTTTCCTTGAAAGATACAAGTTTTATTTTGTTGTTGTAAATAATTTATATTTATATTTATATTAAAAAATTGACGCAGTTTATCCAGCTATGCTGGTCAACAACGCAGCTTTGGTAATAAGGTAATAAGGTAATAACATTTGGTCATTTCGAGCCATATCATTTTCCAGTTTTATGGAAATATATCCATTGCTCATTTCCGCCATTTTGAATCTCTCTTTCTCTTTCTGAATGACATTCTGTCATTCTGTCCAGTCAGTGACGTCAGTCCGTCAGTGTTCAGTTAGTTCATGTCCATGTCATGTTTTAAATCATACCACTCGGCGCATGCGCGCACATAACCTGTTCTAGCTCAGCCAATCATATTGTCACAACAATATTCCCAGTGTGCATTACATGCAATATTAGTTCTTTAACTCTCCGCGTCTTGCATAGGCGCTGCTTTGCAGCTGTTTCGGCAAACTCCAATATTTTCTGCAACGATCAGCTGATCGTTAACTGTCATTATCTTGTTTGTTTACATTTTCATTTTGCCGACCAAACTTCAACTTCAAAGTGGCAGTGGTTAGTTTGGCATTATTTTTACTTTATGTAGTGGACTTATAAAGTGAAATGTATTTTAGTTAATGGGTTGAGAATATTTTCTACTTTTTCAACTTAAAGTGTTACAAAATAAAATTGAATAATCTATACAAGAAGAAAATGGACTTTCTGCTGATTGATTTGAATAATGAAATACTGTCATGTTTTGGACTGTGGCTGTAAGTAGGCCTATTTACTGAAATATAACTAATTATTCCAAGTTTAAATAGTTAGGCCTACAGTACTACACTTGGACAACTTTATTATATTTTTATCATCATAGCCTATGCTTTATTATTTTATAAAGACAAACCAAGCTGGTTATTTACTGGTTCATGAACCTAACCTTCAGTGCTCACTAAGATATAGCAATTTATTAATATTTACTCTCAATTTTTGGAAATAGGCCTAAATTAAGGTTAAAACAGAAGATTGCTAGGCAACCATGGCTACCTCCCTTGCTGTTGTAAATGCAAGAAAGGATAATGCCTTCACTCAAATTCAGATGATATATGATTTGTCCAAGAAAGTGTCTGATAAGGATATTCAGCAAAGGTTTTTGATTCGGGCTAAGTCTGTAAATAAACTCCGAGATGATTTCTCTGAGGCTTTAGATGCCTGCCATGAACTTGAATTAGCAAAAGATCCTAACTTTCAACCCAACTATGCTCCTCTAAATAGTGTTGATGAATTAATTGACTACATTAATGCCAATGTTGCCAACCTTGAAAGTAAACTTCAATCCTCAAAAAATAAGAGTGATAAGACTCCGACTCCACAACCTTCGGTTGTACGCTTACCCAAGCTTGAACTTAAACATTTCAGTGGTGAACCTCTGGAGTGGGTGTCCTTTATAAATTTGTTTGATTCTAGCATTCATAAAAACTCATCTTTGTCTGATGTGGTGAAATTTCAGTATTTATTAGGCATTGTTTCTGGGGAACCCTTGAATTTAATTAAATCCTAGCCTATTTCTGATGCAAACTACACAGTAGCCTATGATTTGTTGAAAGAGCGGTATCATTCGCCTAGACGATTAGTTACTCTGCACTTAAATCAGATTCTTGACTTACCCTCAGTAAATCACACCTCAAAACAAATGAGAAAATTTGTAAATTTATATAATGAAAACATTCAAGCACTCAAAGGCTTAAATAGTGAAATTGCTACAAAAAATAATCACCTTTTGTCTGCCATGCTTTTGAGAAAACTGGATAGTGATTTAAGGAAACGATTTGAGATTTTTCTTGCAAACCCCACTGACAGTGATGGTGATAACCCTGCCTTACCTAATGTGACTGAGTTAATTCAGTTTCTCACTAAAGAATGTAATCAAATTGAAGAAGCAAACCTCCACAGCAGTCATAATGTGAAAACAACATCTGATAATTCATATATTAACTCAAGATTCAACAAATCATCGGTAGGTAATAAGGTGTCTATGCTGACTTATCATTCTGGTGATCAAAGCAAATCCTACCCTAAGTACACTAAATGTTTTGTATGCAACAAAATTGATCATAAGGTGTATACATGCTCGGTCTTTAAAGATAAGGATCCTAAGGCCCGTTACCAGATTGTAAAGGAGAATAAGCGGTGCACATCGTGTTTAGGGAATCATCTACTGAGTGACTGTAAATCTAAGTCGAGCTGTTACACATGCCATCAGAATCATCATACTTTATTACATTTTTATGGTAAACCTCGTCAATCATCTAACCAGGCTACGCCTCAGACTTCAACTCGTGATTCTTCCTCAGCTCATCAAGAAAATTCATCATCTCAACTCTCATCAGCCCTGACTAGTCAAGAAAGATGTTCCACAACACATCATCCCATCCCTCAACAGTGTTGTTGGGCACTTTACTTGTGAAGCTGGTATCGCCCACCGGAGTTAGCCATGTATTTCGAGCTCTCGCTGACTCTGGTAGTCAATCATGTTTTCTCACAGAACATGCTGCTCAACTTTTATGTGTCTCACGCACAAAAAGTGCGCCTAGTGTAGTAGGCCTCTCTCAAATACCTACTCGATGTAAAGGTGCCACTTCTCTCAAGGTAGAGACATTGAATGGAAAAACTATCTCTACTGAATCAAACTTTTTAATTCTTGATAAAATATGTGTTGATTTACCCCGCATGCCTATATCCTCTGGTGTCATTGAGATGGTAAATTCTTACGTTTTGGCTGGTCCCATGTTCCATTTACCTGGTGGGATTGATGTTCTTTTAGGTGGATCACTTTTCCCTCTCATGCTCACTCAAGCAGTTCACAACCTCGGGCCTAACCTACCAAGTTTAATAGGCTCACACTTTGGATTTTTGGTAATGGGTGACGCACCCTGTGCAATCAAGCTGGATGATGACACTAGTTCTCACATGTCAACCATGCTTTTGGCAGTCAATGACATTGAACTGCACAATTCTATCCAGCGGTTTTGGCACCAGGAGGAGCCACCAGTCGCATCAAAGCAATCAGATGATGATAAAATGTGTGAAGAACACTTCCTCTCCACTCACTCTCGGGACCAATCTGGCAGATATTACGTCCGACTACCGTTCAAGACTGAACACCCTGCTCTAGGAAATTCTGTCTTTGCTGCAGAGAAAAGACTACACTCACTTCAGAAAAAGTTTAAGGCTCAACCTCAATTCAAATCTCTATATTTCGACTTCATGTCTGATTATTCGTCTTCGGGACATATGGAACTTGCTCATAATGTTGACTTATCCGCCCCGCATTACTATTTACCTCATCATGGGGTGTTGAAGGAATCATCCAGTACCACTAAACTACGTACTGTGTTCGATGCTAGTGCAAAAACCTCCAATCTCTCAATGATATTTTGCTTACAGGAAGAAAAATGCAAACCAACATTTGTGACTTGTTGCTCATGTTTAGAACTCATAGTGTAGTTTTTTCATGTGATATAAGGCAGATGTACAGACAGATCTGTCCAAAGTCCATTCTGAGGACCAGAAGTTTCACTATATCCTATGGCATACTCGTCCAGATCAACCACCCTCTACCTTCAGACTTACCACAGTAACCTATGGAGTCAATTGCTCACCGTACCTCGCAATCAGGACTTTGCACCAACTTGCCAATGATGAAGGCGACTCGTTCCCTGAAGCGGCAGAGATTCTTCGAACACAAACCTTCGTTGACGATGTGATTTCTGGTGGAGATTCCGAAGAAGAAGCTTTAAGACTCCAGAGACAACTCATCGCCCTATTAGCACGTGGAGGCTTTGAGCAAAGGAAATGGACTTCCAACTCCAGTCGACTTCTTCTAGATCTTCCAGATGGTCATCGAGAGACTCCGGTGTTCCTTCAAGATAGTTCACAGCCTCATGACACCATTTTAGGCATTCACTGGCCTCCAGTTACTGACTGTTTTACATACAATTTTAATTTTTCCGCAAGCGCAACTACAAAGCGTCAGGTGCTCAGTGTGATTGCACAAATATATGACCCCTGTGGTTTCCTCTCCCCAATTGTGATGTGGGCAAAACGTTTTATGCAGCTCTTGTGGACCAAAGGATTGGATTGGGATCAAACACTTCCCGCTGCCCTACTCGAAATGTGGCAAAGTTTCACTTCATCTACAGACAGCCTGCGAGAGATTTCAATTCCTCGAGCTTTTCAAGTGTCACGAGCATGCACTACTGCCTTACATGGCTTCTCAGATGCCTCCGAGAATGGTTATGCTGCAGTTGTTTACTTGCGCTGTGAACTCAGTGATGGGACTGTCACAACAATCAGACAGATTATGTCAAAGACTCGGGTTGCTCCCTTAAAAAAAACTTACAATTCCACGCTTGGAACTATGCGCCGCCCATCTTCTTGCCCAGATAGTAGCCTATGTGGTTTCTATTTACAAGATAAAATTAAAGATTTCATCCATCATTCTCTGGTGTGACTCTACTATCACCCTAACTTGGCTGCAGACACCACCTCATCGATTGAAGACCTTTTTTGGGAACAGGGTTGCGCAGGTGCAAGAATTAGTACCTAATCATTGCTGGCGACACATATCCAGTGAATATAACCCCGCTGACTGCGCGTCACGAGGTATCCTCCCATCAGAATTGTCTAACCACGAACTTTGGTGGTCTGGTCCCCCATGGCTTCAATATTCGAGTGAATCTTGGCCATCCTCAAACTTTACTCCTCTAGATATTACAAAAACAGGAGAAAATAAACCTCAGTCACCCACCACTCTTATATCTACAATAAAACCCACTCAAGAATGGGAACTCCTCACTAGATTCTCTCACTTCAGCAAACTTACACGAGTGATGGATTACATTTTACGATTCATCTATAACCTCCGGCACTCAAAAAGGTGCTCAGGCCCTCTCACCTCATCTGAGTTAACTCAAAGTCGACTGACAATCTTCAAGAAGGTTCAAGAAACGGTTTTTGGAGATGACATCGCAGCGTTGAAGAACAACTCATCTAAAACCAATTCATCACTTCGACGTCTCCATCCTTTCATTGATAAATCAGGTTTACTTACTTCGTGTTGGTGGACGATTGAATGCATCTCAACTTTCAGAAGACGTTAAGCATCCTGTAATTCTACCTAAGAAACATCATGTGATTGACATTCTTATTGATTTCTATCACCAGAAATATTTGCATTCAGGGCCTCAATTAACTCAATCCCTTCTCGCTCAGAGCGTTTGGATTCTTTCTGCCCGCAGCGCAATACGCTCTCGAATTTTTAAATGTGTCATCTGCTTTCGACACAAACCACATAATAAAATTCCACTGATGGGTGATCTCCCAAAATCCCGAGTGACACATTCTCGTCCATTTCTCAACACGGGGCTGGACTACGGTGGTCCTTCCAACATCAAGGTTCATAACCTCCGTTCAATACGTTTGATAAAAGCGTACATTTGTATCTTCGTCTGCCTTGTAACAAAGGCTGTTCACATTGAAGTAGCTACTGACCTATCAACTGATGCCTTCATTGCTGCACTAACTCGTTTTGTGTCAAGACGTGGCCTCTGCAAGAACATATATTCGGACTGCGGGACAAACTTCGTTGGTGCTAATAACGCCTTTCAAGCTCTCTTCAAGTCAGCTGAACGAACATCTTTTCTTGAATTTTCCTCAAACCAAGACATTACCTTCCATTTCAACCCCCCAGCTGCTCCTCACCAAGGTGGTCTCTGGGAAGGAGCCGTTAAGAGTGCCAAGCATCACCTCCGCCGTGTCATCGGCGAACATGTCCTAACCCTCTCAGAGTTCATGACCCTGTCTACTCAAGTGGAGGCGATACTTAATTCGAGACCTCTCACACCAATGTCAAACGACCCTTCAGATGTCACTGCGCTCACTCCAGGACATTTCTTGGTCGGAGCTCCACTTGTCTCTGTTCCTGATAAAAATCTGGAAGATGTTCCTGATAATCTCCTGAAACACTGGCATTTGGTCAAGGCCCTAAATCAACGCATCTAGAAGAGATGGCAACTGGAGTACATTCACACCCTCCATCAGCGGGTTAAATGGACTGAACAAAATTCCAATCTTCGCATTGGTGACCTCGCCTTAGTACATCAGCCTACTCCTCCTCTTTCTTGGCCGTTAGCTCGGATTGTGGGTGTCTCTCCTGGAAAGGATGAGGTTGTACGGGTCGTCCACTTGAAAACTCAACAAGGACTCTTGACTCGACCAGCTCACAAGGTTTTTCCTTTGCCTGCTTATCAAGAGTAACTTCAAGAACTTTAATTTGTAAATAGTATTTTTTCTCAACCACTTTGGAAAGAAGATTTATTTTATTGGAATATTATTTTTGTGTTGATTTGTTGAATCCTGGAGGATTCAAGGCCCCCTGTATGTTTAGTATTTAGAAGAAAAAAGGAACTATCAACTTTATATTAATTCAAAAGAAGAATATTTATTTTATATTAAAAACAAATGGTAATGCCAAACACCAAAGCCACAGAACCCAAGTCCATTTTATCTTCAGACAACAATCTTATCGCTCTATTCATGTCATTGTCCTTATCGCTTGTCGTTCGCCTCAGACAGGTATCCTGGTCATTCTCTCTCTGTCCACGGCCCTATTAATATGGTCTAGTACCGGCCACCTCTTTTAATCTCATTTCCATTTACATTATTTCATCAAGTTGTTTCAGTTTTCATTTTTATTGCAATTAATATTGCCCAATCTTATTCTGAAGTTATTTTTGTTGTTTTAGTGACAAGTAGTATTTTTATTTGCGTTTTATTAACTCATGAATCATGCACCATCAAGTAATCAAAGTGTCCTGTGCGGTGTCGCGACTTCCGTGTAATTAAAGTGGCCACGAACAATAAAAGACTTAGCGTTACGTGCGAACATCAAGCCTTCAAGCAGAAAGAAGAGCGAAAATCGTCTCATCCAACATCCAACTACCAAGGGTTCGTCACAGCGCCGACACTAATCTGAAGTTCAAATACGCCATCTTTCCCACTTCCCCCTACGTCTGCACTGGAGTTTGTAAAGGTACATGTTTTCAAGTTTCTTATTATTTTCCGCAATGTAATTTGCGGTGGTCCTTCGTAATTTACCTATGAATAATCACTTTTAATATTCAATTTTTAAATAAATACACTCATACGTAACAGTAGGCCTAGGTTGATCAAAATTAATTACCATACTTACTTATTTTTTACTAAATAAAACCATATGCATTTTCAGATCAGAGGCCAGAACAGTTTGCTAGATTTTATAACAATATCTGCGTTAAACAACCAGCCAATTTAGCTATTCCAAAAACACAGCGAATCTTATCTTACTGTTATTTCTAATGCATGTATTATTAAGTAAGCCTGTCTATATTATATTTACTAATCAATGTAACTTATTTTATACTTATGCACTCTGAATGTAATCCTTTCATTGCTGTAACTTGTTTTTTGAATGATCTATTGCATGATTGTATGATGTTTAAAGATCGAATATCTATCTTTGCAGTTCTCTTGGTAACCAAATACAGTTCTTCAAATACATTTTAACATAAACCTTTGCAAATAAATTTGTTCTTACATTTTTCAGACTCCTTTGGCAGAGCCAAAGAAAAACTAAAACTAGCAGAGGCCCAGTCTGACATAAACACAGACACTGAAGAGTCTAAGAAAAGGAAAAAACGAGCCAAGAAAAAGTTTCCTGAGTTTTCTACTTTTGGTTCAGAAAGTACCAGTAGTGAGGACGATTTGAGTAACACAAGTGTTTGAGTAACACTCTATGTTTTTAAGGACACCAGAGTACCCCCAACTGCCAGTACCCAAGTCTCCTGAGCTGTCTCAGCCAGCGGATCCTAGGACCCCTGATTACACTCAACTACAAACTAAGAGGAAGTCAGACCATGTTGATGCATCTGCTAAGAGAAAGCTAACGTCCCCTGCACACGCCCATCACTCTCAGTCAAGTACTTCTACAACTAGTGACTTTGAAGGTAGCCTAAACCATCTAGCCTATTAAAAACAATGTAATAATACCAAAGCTATTTATCAGGATCGCCTATGCCCTATGCCTAGATTTAATCAGAGTTATTCATAGAAATATTACGTAACTAATTAATTTTACCTTATTACACAATCAAAATAATGAAATAACATAACATTGAATTACAAACACACTCACACACAAACATAACAATTACAAATATTTATTTTATGTGACCCATTTGTATTCAAATATTTTTTCTGGCTTTCATATTTGTATGAAATGTGCAACTAAAACCATGCAACTAAGTTAACCGTTTATCTTTCTACAAAGGACTAATGTACTGAGACTTGTTCGTTGTTACTCATACAATTTTAATTTACTCGTAATATGTATCTAGAAAAAGTAGCCTTTAGTAACTTATGTCAATCTAAAAAAAAAAATATTTTGTCCAGAAAAACAGGCAGAAAAAAAGATCATGAAGACCATTCTAAAATATGTAATCCCCATAAAGTACCAGTTGGCTTCAGTAATGGACACCCAGAGGCAAATCCTGGACCAGCTACAAAAACTTCAGCAAAACCCTGTAGTCCAGGAAGCGAACAATAGTAACGTCACAATAGAGATTGTGAACAATCTTGACATTGATGATTTCCGCATTCAATCTATTGATGGGGTTCTCAAAATTGAAGAAAAATTTAAGAAAGACTTGGATGGGACTTATCGAGCTGTGTTGGTAATATATATTTTTAATGTAAAAAAAAATGGAAAGTGAAACGAATCCCGTCTATTGAATGTTGCCCTTTTTTAAATTGTTAACTTTACCCCATTATTGATGAAAAAGCTTATAGTTCTGGGAATCTTTCGAAGACAATCAATTTATTCATTACCTATACAGTAATTGTTGGAATAAGAAGTTAAATGGTGTACACAATAACTTTCTTTTCTGAAAGAACATTTTGAAGTATGGTTTAATTTTTTTTATTCTTCTAACATAGGGGAAACTGATTAATGTTCTACAGAATTTATTCCCTACATAGAAACATAAATTAAGTTACATGATAAAAACAATAATGTCCCATTACTTACAGCTATGGATAATACATGATGAATAAAAAACAAATATTGCATTTACTATTATAATTTATCAGCTTAAATACTTGCAGGACATAACTTACTGGGGAATCAGGTCTTACTTATATTATAAAACCACCATCCACTTTAGGCCTAAACTTAGCCACTGAACAGTAATATCTTCCTCATAATCCACTCCTGATATCACTAAACCTGGCATCGTCCTAATATTCCTTAATTTCATATCCTGGAGAGAACTTTTTTTTTTTGTCCTAGGACGCTAGGCACGAGCCTGGGATTGTTTTTCACATTACTTCAGGCTAGACCTAGGGGTTGCTGCATTATCACTTAGATAAAATCCATTGGTGACTTGGCGGGGATCGAACCCGGGACCTCACGGACCTCTAGCCACTACGCCAGCTCGCTCCCCCCTGGAGAGAACTAGACATATAGGTAATGTAATTGTTTACTGTTTACAAACATACTGGCAATAACAATCTAGGTTAGGTAATGAACAACAAACAAAACGTCAACTGAGTTCCTGTTCCTGAGTTCTATTCTAAACATCACTGCAGTGATGTAAGTCGAGACAGCACAAAATAAAATAAATCGCGAGAATCCGCGTTTTTTTTTCAACAAATAGGATGATACCAAACACGCATTTTATTCTTCTTCTTGCGATCCGTAATAGCACGGCAAATTTAAACTGATTTTAATCAAATTTTGATATTATATATCAATAAACAAGTAAACTACACAGTTTGCTTTTTCTCCATAAAAGTATCATGGGGATTTTAAACTTAGTTATTGTTTATATTTCGTCTATAACTCATTCATACATTTTGTTTGTAGTCTCATTATGAATTTTGTTTAAAGGTGTAAATACTAGATTCAAGAAGTTCGCTTTAAACTCAATTTAACACCCCTTCCCCTAGGGTCGTCCTAAGTAGATTTCGTTATATACTGAAATGATACGGATAAAATACCCATGCCAACGATATTCTTTCTTCAGAACAATGATACCTTTATGTACATTGTTAATATAAACAAAATACATTAATATTGGTATATATAATTGGTGTTTAATATTGGCTTTGTGATAAATAGGGTTAATTAATCTCCCATTGGCTGTCCAGAGCTATCTCTATCACATGATATCTTAAACAGCTTCAGGGCTGCATATATTCTGCATATAACCATTGTAGCAGAATTATGTCCTGCAGGCCACAACTACAGTGTTATGATACGTATTTGTATCAATCTCAAATTTTGATGGATATCAATTCAGTGGGCAAGAAGTATGTTGATTTCTCGTATTTAATACAATGGATTATATCTATTTTTGTATGTTCTTGCGCATGCATATTGAAATATCGGTAGCTATATACTTTAATTAGAGTATAATATCTTTTAAATTAAAAAATAAAACAACTATAAACACTTATCCATAATAGATTTAAATACAAACAAGATTTGGCAGTTAATTATCCAATAAAAAACTAAAACCCAATGTTGGCATCACTAGTAACTTAAATATTATAAGCGCTTACTAGAAATATTGCAAATGAAATAAAGTTCAAAAATACACTTTTCATGTCCTAACAATTTACATATTAGGAAGATTCTCAATATATAAAAAATATTGCACCAATATTATTGGACTATAAACAAACAAAATTCACTGTGTTGGTATTTTTTTTATTTCCTTTTTATTTATAGATGAAAGTAATATTAAGAAGTACTGTAAAACATACCACCAATTTAAAGATAAACAGGTTAAGGCGAAAAAGATGAACAAATGTCTTTAAGTAACCGTATATGTAAAATATTTATTCATTTACCTGTTCTAAAAAATTACGTATTGGGCTGCCTAAACAATAAAACGAAACGGTAGATACCATGGCCACATTTTGATTGGCCATGGTAGTAGTTGATAGTCCTGTAGCATAGTGAC